TTTTAAGAATTAGGAATTCTTTTGTTGATTATGATTATCGTGAAATTTCAATGGCTTCTATATATTTAGCAGGCAAAGTAGAAGAAACAGTGCTAAAAACTTGGTATATTGCTAGTACTTTTAGCTCTGTATTTTAGAAATAAAAATAAACACCGTTGTAAGAATGATAAAGATATTAAATAGGGATATTATAATTAAATAGGAAAAATTAATACTGAGAGAACTTGGGTTTGAATTATTTAGAGTTTCAGATCATCCGCACAAGTTCATAGAATCATTTTATCATTTTATTAAGGTCGATAAGCAGGTAGCTCAAAAGGCATGGTGTTACTTGAACGATTCATACATGACTGATTTATGTGTACATTTTCCACCTTAAGTAATTGCAGCAGGAGCTTTGTATTTAGCTTTGAGAATCTGTAATCATCCTATGCCTACTTAACCATGGTGGATTCTATTAGAAGCTACTTTAGATTAGATTGAGTAAGTGGCTGCAACAATATATAATATTTATGAATTTGAAAAGATTGATTTTAGATAAGCCAAAAGAATATTAGCAAAAGCCAATAGAGTAGCTTATGTAATTTAACATAGTGAAATTTATGGTGTTCCAGAGAAAATTGAAAAGCCATTAGAAGCTATTAAATAAATCTCTTAATAATAATAAGAATAATAAAATAATAAAGTAGAATAATAAAAATCACCAATTGATAAGAAAAGTATGAAAAAAAAAAGTAGGTCTAATGAAAAAAAAAGTAAGGATAAAAAGAATAAATCTGAGAAAAAGAAAAAGAAAGATAAAGATAAAAAGAAAGAAAAAAAAGATAAAAAAAAGAAGTAAATATATAATTACTATATTATTAGAAGTAGATCTAGAAGTAAATCTAATGAAAAAAAATAATCAAAGAAAGATAAAAAGAAGAATAAAAGTAAAAAAGAATAGGAAGGATAAGAAAAATATAAAAATAAGGATTCTGAGATAGTTATCTAATAGGATATAAATTAAATTGAAACAAAAATGGATATTGAGACACCAAATGATTGCAATAAAAATATAAAAAGCAACAATAATAATATCTAGTAATCAAGCACAGGTAACGATTAAAAAAAGGATGACTAATTGTGCCAAATACCTATTGTTGAATAGACAAATAAAGAACCAAATCCTTAAGCATAACATGTTATTAATGACGTTTAGTAGCCACAATAATTGCATGATGAAAAAGAATAATTGAAAGTGTAATTGCCTTTATAGAGTAAATAGGATTTGATTGCTTCAATAAAAGCAATTCTAAAAACTTAATAATTATAGAAGGAGAAAGAAAAAGATTAAGATAAAGAAAAAGAGAAAGATTAAGAAAAAGATAAAGATATAAATGTAGAATAGTCTCCAGATGAATAAGATTCAGAAGAAGATGAACAATTAAAAGCACTTAAATTAAAAAGTAACTATAAATTAATTATTTAGTGTTAGCAAAAAAAAGAAATGATTTATGAGCTCTGTAATATAAATTCAAAGAATATATATATTTAACTTATCTTTATTCTAAATTATTTTTATTATCATTATTATGTAAATCATTTTCCATCTTAATGATTTGAATGGTATTTATTAATATAAAATATATATTCATTTTATTTCAAAATACTTTATAATCCATCAAATATTATAAGTAATTACAATAAGGCTGAATAATTTGATAGTTAAAATGAAAGACCAATAAAAAAATTAAGCATCAGGATTTGATTATCTGTATATAACTGAGGAGATATCAAAATATCATATATCATCATTTCGTTAAGTTCCAATCATTAAACCTAAGAAAATATCTGATAATCCTTTTTATGCTTTAACAATGCATAAAAGGAAAACAACTCCTAAAATAATTTAAAGAGTTGAATAAAATGAACAAATTACAAAAGCATTTCCAAAAAGAGAATATAGACATAAAATGAGATCCAGAACAATTACAGATAACTCAAGTGTTGAATTACCTAAAATTGTAGAGAAAAAATGGGAACCAAAGAAAGCACATATGTATTATAATTTGAATTATTTGATATAATAAACAAAGAGAGGTTTGAAAACAATTCATTATTGATTTTTTAAGAAAAAATTATTAATAAATTAAATAAAATTGAACTGTTAAACTCTAATTTATTATTGTTATTAGATTCAAGAAAAATAAAATCTATAGAAAAATCTAAAATAATATCAAAACCCTAATTATTCTTTAATTTGAATTAGATCCATATTAAATTCTTAAATTCATCATTTTAAAAACTAACATTATAATACTTTCAAATTTAATTTTATAATCCTTAATTATTTGATATATAAAATATAAACCTATATTATTCAATTATAATAACTGTTTAAACAAAATCCACTTACTATTCTTATATAAAATGGATTAATATTAATATAAGTTACAACATATATATTGTATAAAGTATTGTTTAACATCTTCAGATTTAAATTTATTATTATTATATTCATTCATAATCTTACATCTTTAATTCTATTAACATAAATAATAATTATTATTTATAAATATATTTTTTTGTATTCTTGAAATTAATAGTTTATTAGATTGTAAAATGATACTTTTCATATCAAAAAACTAATTAAAAAAATTACTTAATGTTTTACTTTGTTCTAATGTAAATTAATGTAATTATATTAATATATATTAATCAATAATGAAATAATTCGGCAATAAATCCTTTAAATAGAACATCAAAAATAAGATCATCTGCTTAATTATTTAATTAAATTGCTAAATCTAAACAGAAAATCATTCTTTATATTATATTTTAGTAAATTTCTTATTTAAGTTAGAAATCAGAATATTATATTTCTATTTGTTCCATTTCATTTTATAGATATACTATTATATGAATTTTATTTTATTAACTATTATTTCCTGAAAAGCAATGAGTTTTGAGGATCTATTAAGTTGGTACTTTCCACAATTTATTAAAAATTTTTTACATAAAATGTGTACGAATAGATTTTAGATGGACATCCCAAGATTCTAATTTAGAAATCATAAATTTATGTTGCTTATCTCCTTTAATTCTAGCTTAGTGATTGTTCTTTTTTTATGTTTTATCGTTAATTTTAGGTACTAGTGTAAATTAATTGTATGTACTTGACTTAAATTTATTCATTTATAATTTATTGGCATAATCTAATACTTTAGAAAAAAAATCAGATCCTCCAATTACTTTACTATTGATTGAGCTCTTAAATTCAAATAAAATGTCATATTATTACTACATTGAAATTGGTTTCAATTACTATGGTTATTGTTACCCTGTACTAAATTAATCTTCCATATCCATATTATCAACAAATGAGAATTCTTATCTTAATAGAATGGTTATAAATACCAATTGGTAAAAATTTATTTCTCTCAAAATCAAGATCAGAAAATGCAAAGTTATTAGTATCTCCAAAATTAAAATATTCATCTGTAAATGAGTGTTCTTCTGGTATACGAAATTGATCAGCTTAAAATATGCTTACTTCCGAATATTATGTCATTCCATTTAAATTCTGATTCACCAATAGTAAAAAAAAACAAAAAATTTGAATTAAGGTAGTAAAATCAAACTTTTTACCTTTTTTCCAGTCTTGACTTTCTTTTAAATTTAGCATGTTATTAATTATAAAAAAAATATAAATATTTTCTAAAATCATTTAAAAAACTTTATCAATAAATAATCTGACCTATTTTTCTGCTTTATATTCTATTCTTTATTATAATTCTCTCTAAATCAAAATAATAATCTGTGAAAAAAATGTTTTTTAAGAAAAGAATTGAACATTGCTAATAGTATTTTATTAATTAATATAATATTAATAGAATTGTTGAAATAATATTTAAATAAATGATGTAAGATTTTAAATCATATAATTTATAGTTGATTAAAAGCTTAATAATAGTATAAATATTTAAAAACCAATATAGATGTTTCAGATATCTCATATTATTATTTTTATTAATATTAATCAATTTTCAATTAATATTTTAATGATTTTAATATTAAAAATTTTAAGAAAAGTGCCAATTACCTATTCATAACCTTCATTAAAATTGTAAGAAACAATAAACTTAGAATTAAAGTTATCACTATTATTGAATGATAAAAATTTAACAGTTTCACAAATCAAGTATTTAATTTGTATCTTCTATTGCCTTTATATTCTAAAGAAGTTTATAGTCATATTTTCATCATTGTTTTACTTTTGTTTTTTAAATCCTAAAAATACATTTTACCAAGTTTTAATGCAAATTAAACACTATTTGATGAAATTTCCATTTTCTTTATTTATTTATTGGATAAATGTTATCCACTTTTATTTGCCTCTTCTTCAATTCAAATTTCTACAAACACCTTTTAAAAAAATTCAAGAGGAATTAAAAAGTTAATCTATTAAAAGAATTATATGATAATATCTAAAGGGGTTATTCTAAATTAATTTAATAGTTAAATAAAGCCTATATTGTTATATTTCATTAAAACAATTAAATTAATCTACCCTTCATAAAGAATCTATTATTGTACCAGGTAATCTAATAATTATTTCAATTAATAAAAAAATTGAATACATTTTCAGTTGAATAATTACTTAATATTTAATATTTAATAAAATTATAATTGTAAAATTATTGCTTAATTTTCTTCAAAATCTTAGGTTAAATCTATTAATAATTTAATAATTAAAAATACAAACTCAAGTTTTTTATTTTTCCTTTAAATTCTTAGATATTAGAATATAAATAGAATTTAATGGTTTTTTATAATTTTAAACATATTTACTATATTGTATTATAAAAACTCATATAATTAATGAGTTTATTGAAGTTTATTATTTAATAAACTAATGAAGAGATTAAGAATTTATGAAATAATTTTATAATGCATTTTTATTTATTCAGAAAATTAGAAACAACTATAGTTAATTTTATATATAAATATATATTTTCGAGATGAACGATGAGTTTTTGACTTGTGCCAAGATAATTGAATTTTTTTGGCTATTGTTAGCATTTGTTTTCTTTTTTTTTGCTGTTTATGCTAAATTCAGATTGAAAAAGGAGATTCATTTAGATATTGAGAATTTGAATTCGAATCACACATCAGTTAAATATTAAGTTCCTTCATAATAAGGAGATGCATAAGAGATTCATATGGTAGATTAAAATGTTTCAAATTCTGGATAATTATAATCAGTAGCTTAATAAAATAAAGAACCACCTGTATGTTTAAAAATCAATATTAGACAAAATTAGAAGAATTTTACAAGAAATCATTAAGTATTACAAGTAGAATATTCCCTTAATTGGCAGTTGTTATTATTTGCATTTTAAACGGGGCTAGTTATGCATTTGCAGTAGCTTGCGTTATTTTATACTTTATATCAATCCTTTTATTTAATATACTGCAAATATAAGATTGTTTAGGGTCTTAAGGAATGAAAAGTATTTTAAATTTATTATATTTTGAGATATGTTTAAGTTGACAAATAACATTTGGTTAATATGTCTATTCATAAATTATTTAGCTAGTTCATTATTTTGATTTTTATGATATTTTATAAAGGTTTTAGATATAATTAATTAAACAAAAAGTATCTTTATATGATTCAATTTTTAAATTTAGTATATAAAACTTGTTATTTTTTATCAAAAGAAACCTTCTTAATAGATCTTTGAGAGCCAGCTGAAAGTGAAATATTTGAACTCTCTTATCCACTCCTTTTTCTTAGAATAGGCTTTTATTTGGAGGTATCAGCGAATGAATTTTTTTGATCAAAAGAATTATTTAGATTGCCATTCTATGAATTATTCATATCATCATTTTTAAATTTGGATACATTGATGGCTTCAATGGCAAAATTTTTCTTAATCCAGGGGTTTTATTGTTAACTGTCTATCTCTTCAGATTATTAAGCTGTATAAAAGAATAGTTGATCAACTTGTCTTTCATTTTATTATTGGGATAATTCAATTTTTAGAGATTCTTCCTTCTCAACCTATTCATCAGTTATCAAAATACTGATAATGGGAGTAGGTCTAAATAAATTAGGTGGGCCATTTAATTTATTTGAATGTTATGATATTGTTTTTATTTCCACTTGTGTTTATTGTGATCCTTTAACACAAATTGATGTACCCATACTTGTAAATTGTTAATATTTTAAATAAGATAAAAAAATTTAATAAGTTTTTATAAATATGTTATGCCATTCTAATAATCTTTTAATACTTTTTGTTATATCCTATTATTAATATCTTAATTATTAGAAAAATATATCAATTTTACAAATCTTTTTTATTTTAAACATACTACTTAGAATATAAATATTCTAAAGATTTTTTGGAAATAGATATTCTATTGAACATAGCTAGAAATTCCAAAAATATTGAAGATTTATAAATAATATTATCTATGAATAAGTTTTTCTTAAATAAAATTACATAAAAATATAATTTAATTATATAATTCTAAAATTATTTCATTACTATAATGAAAATTAAATAAAAAAGTTTTAAAAATTTTATTATTCTAAAGATACAAATAATTTTAATGAATTAATAATTATAGTTTAAATAAATGTATATGTTAAAATTTATAGATAATTAACATAATTGAAAAATTTATAAAAACTACAGGTTTAACAATAAAAAGATTTCATAATGATCATAATAATCATCAATTAATAGATTCAATGTTTTTATTCGTCATCAACTTCATATATGGCTTATTATCTTTATTAATTGAATTTGGAGTATGTGAATTTCCTTTTTATAACACTTTATTAAATGAGTCTAGGACTATTACTAAAATTCATTCTTCCAGAATCAGGTGATTAAGTATCTGGTGTTAATGGATCAAAATCTTAAGTGGAAAACTTCTTAAATGCACTTTTCTTAGGAAAATCAGTCGGTGAATATTCGTTAAGAGCCAAATTTTTTTTTTTTGCATGTTATGCTAATCTAGGACTATTTAATGTTGGAATTCTAATTCTAGATGTTTCTTCTTCTTCATTATCATCATCTCTTTATCGAGATCTTTATTTGATTTCTGGTAATTATAATCTATCAGATTTTTCAGTTTTGAAATTTGATGTTTACCAAGGTTTACTATTATTATTAATTTACTTTTTAGATGATTGAAATTTCATTTTTCTATCAATAAATGTTCCAGTAAAAAATGGATGATCTAAAGCTTATTATGCTGAAATCCTTTAATGTGGTACAGCCTATAACATTTAAGATATTAAATCTATAGCTAATTATGGAGTTGAATATATATGAAGAGTATCCAAATTTATTATGCATTTCTTGTTTAACTTAAGAATTTCATGATAATCATTTCCTGGAAATAAATCTTTAGATGTAATTCTAAGGTTTAGAATAATATTACAATTTATAGAATATACAACCAACGCTGAACATATCACAAATCTTATCATATTTAAAATTAAGATCTTTGAGATTGGCTATTTCTGGTGCTACATATCCAGGAGTACCACATTTAGGAAAAGGATAAGTTGCAGCAGTTTGCCATGTAGCTAATCCAAAATCTACTATTCTTATTCCATGAATATCATTTTGTTTTTTTAACATAATATTTTCTGGTTTTAAATCTCTATGCATTATATTCAAAGAATGCATATGAGCTACTGCAGTTAAAATAGCCTTAAGATTTAATTGAATTAATTACAAACATGATAGACCTAATTTCATCCCAATCTAATTATATGATTCCTTTAGAAATCAAATCATGAAGAGAATTTCCTTTCAAGTATTCTAATATAAGATAAAATGTAGTTTCTCCTTCATATACTTCCTCCATCTTTACTATATATTCATGATCAAGAGCTGCCATCAAATTAATTTCATTAAATAAAGCTTCCTAATTAGATTATAAACAGATATTTATACATAGCCTCCATCTTCTCTTAGATATCTCTTCTCAACATTTTTGGATGCGAATTCTTGTTTGTCGCATTTATCCATTACAAGATAAACCTTTGTATATAATAAATAATAGAATACTCTTGAAGAACCTCCTCTTCCTATTTATTTGATAGGTAAATAGAAATCACTCACATCTCTATACATTACTCTATTTCTTAGTAATCTCTTTAATTATTTAAATTCTTCAAAGTTTCCATCAAAATACTTAACCTCATCTTTGTTTTCAAATCCCATTTGTGTAATTTTTTGTCTATCCTATTACCAGTAGATTTTTTGTTAAAGATTAATTTCAAGAACATATTTTGGTTATTGGGAATTAAGTTCCTTTTCTAATATTACCTAAGAAATACTTGAGTCAAAATCAAATGGTTATCTATTACATACAAAAAGTAAGTGAGTTCTTTGCGAGTATTTCTACGTTGACAAACCATCTAGAAAGATGCATTTTCATACACAATATCAGTGATATTATTCATTTATTAAGCTAAATTATATTAATTTAAGTAAAATTAACAAAGTAAATATTTAAGAATTGCCTTAATCATTAAAATTATTTATAATTAAAGGATAATCATTTATATTTTGTAATCTATATATTAAACTAAATAGTTATTTAAATTAGTATTATTTTATATATGGCCTAATTTAAAACTAAATATTTTATGATTTAGTATTTAATATATATATATATAGTATATAAGTAAATAGAAAGGAGAAACAATGAAATATGAGATTTTAGGCAAAGACTATGGCATTTGATTAGTTTATTATATAATTAATTGACAATTTTTTTATAAAAATTTAGATTTCTTAAAATTAATTGTGAAATTAAGAATGCCATATTTAAATCATTTTTAGTTTTCTTTCTTTAAGCTTTCACGTAAACGAATTCTTAATATAATATAAATATCTACCTTTCTTTAGCTGATCTTTCCATATCTCCAATTTCATCACTTCCCAAACGATACATTACAAACAATATTACTCCAGCAAACCATCCCATATAGATACAAAAATAGAAAGCATTTTTCAATCTTAATTCTCTTGATTATGGTTTCAATTCTTCATCTAACTTTTAACTATCATATTATATATGCTTTTACTTTTGAGCTAATTATTCTCTAGTCAACTGAGGACCTCTTTAAAAATCTTTATAATCTTATTTCTATCCCTTAAAATTGTATTTAGGAGGAGCATCTATTTTCTATCCTCCTTTTACAACATTTTCATAAAAATTCTTATAAATGTTCCTTAATTTTTACATTAATTATATATATATATATATCTATCCTTAATTTTTATTATAACTAAATGGGACAATAGTGTTGTAATGTAAAAAATGCATATGTTCCTGATCAGATACCAATAAACATTTATACTCCAGATCAAATTGATTATTAAGGACTTTAAAACACAAAATAAATGCTAGAAGTAGTCAGTTAGGGTTTTGATGATGATTAAAGCAACAGAAATATTATTGAAGATGAACATTTACCATCAGATGCAATGAAATTACATGAGATTCCTAAATTAGATAATCAAAAAGCAGAATCAATTAGACAATAACTTGGCTCTATCAAACTAAATTATGATTCTGAATATCCAATTTATCAACCTGTATAAATTGTAAATTACAAACCAAATGGAGATATTCATTCAATTGTTATTTATGAAGGTCAATGGTATAAATCAAAAAGAAATGGAGCAGGTATTCAATATTATCCTGATGGTTCAATTTATGAAGGTCATTGGTGTCATAATAAACATGATGGATTTGGTAGGATTATCTATGCAGATGGAGAATATTATATAGGAGAATGGAGATTAGGATAATCTCATGGTGAAGGAACATTAGTTACTAAAGAGTTGACTTATATAGGAAGATGGGAAGATGATTTATAAGTAAGTATATTTTATATTAAGAATGGATAAGGTTATGAAAAAAAGAGTAATGGTACTACTTATGAAGGATAATTTAAAAATGGACGTAAGCATGGATCAGGCTTAGTTAAATATTCAGATAATTCTTAATATAAAGGAAATTTTGTTGAAGATCGTTACGAGGGGATTGGAGAATATAAATGGAATGATGGTAGAACTTATGGGGGAGAATGGAAAAATAATCTAATGAATGGTAAAGGTGAAATGAGATACCCAAATGGAGATAAATATATAGGTATAATAATTAAATTCATCATCTAGGACATTTTAAGAATGATAAAAAACATGGATTAGGAAAATTTATTTAAATGAATGGTAGATCTATTGAAGGAGAATGGGAGGAAGGTAAATTAAATGGAGAAGCTAAAATAACAGAACCTAATGGAGAATCATTTTTTGCTAATTTTAAAAACGATTAAATTATTTGATATTGAAATTATACTTTAGATAAATATTATAAAAAGCAATAAAAATTAGCCATTTTCATTTAATTATCTTATAAAAATTAATAATTTATAAGCGATCACACAAAATTTAATGACATTAGAATAATCATAAAAAAAATATTTTGATTATTTTTAATTAATTCAATGATATATGTAAAATTACTAGTTCTTAATTAAAAATATAGAAATTTCAAATAATTAAGTTTCTTGATTATAATTAGTTTATTTAATTATTAAAAGGATTAGACAATCAATATCAAATTACAATCAATTTTTTTGATAATAACCTTAAATTGTTCAAATAAAAAGAAATTAGAAATTTTTATTAATTTTCACTTATTATATTGTTAAATTGATTAATTTTGAATATGTGTGTAGATTGTTAAATTAAATTTCAATTTAGAAATCTTTACTATATTTTAATATATTTTTTCTTTGTTTTAAGCTCATTTGGTTAAATTTGTTTATTGTATTAAAAATATCATTAATTTTATTAATTCAAATTTGGATGAGCTCCCTCTTTGTTAAATGTTTATAATGTAATCAAAGACCAGCAACAATAAAATGTCAATAGTGTAAAATTGGCTAAGTTGTCAGATTATGTTACAGCTGTGATTCACAGGTGCATAATAGATAAGGACCTATTGGTCAGCAACATAAGACAGAAATCATTCCTTATTAAGGTAATAATGCAAATTTAATATATCATAGAAATGTATTAAAAAGCTCCTCAATCAGCAGGTTAAACAAACTAAGGAAATAAATTTGAAAATACTCAAATTGCTCAAAAAAAATAATAACCTTAACAGTCATAATAACCTTAACAGTCATAATAATCATAACAGTCATAATAATCTTAGGGACAATTTAAATTTGCAGCCACAACTAAATAAGAACCATCTTAATTTGCTTAGAAGCCTATTACAAATGTGGGAAAACCACTTCAATAACCAGCTACAAGAGAAATTAATTTCTCTGGCACTAGATCAAACAATAAGCCAAGATATGATTAAAAAGAGGAAGAGCAATACAATAGTTCATAAAAAAATTCTGTAATTAATGTATCATTATGTAATATAGGATTAAAAAAATTCCTTAAATAACTAATTGAAAGAGGAGTAAGATACATGCCAATAACTTAAAAAAGAACTAAAATAAGCTTAGGATTAATTAAATTCAATAAATAAAGAAGTTGAGAAGAAAATGTAAATAGTATTTATTTAATTTTTTAGCAAAGCATCTTAATAGGAACTTGAGAAAAAACTAAATGATTTAAAAAAGGAAGGAGCTGAAGAAAAGAAAAAAACTTAATAATTGACTGAAGATGTTAAAAAATTGAAAGAATAATTAAAGAATGCTGAATCTTAAACTTAAAAGAAATTGGATCAACAAAAAAAATAATATGAAAAATAAATGCAAGAAATGGAATAAACTATAAATGAGAAGCAATAATAAATTGATGAAATTGCTTAAGAATTTTAGAATTATAATCTAGAAGATATATAAGCTAAAATGGAAGAAATGGCAAATGATATCAATATGAAAGATTAAATTATTGAATAATTACAAACATAATTATAAAAAGGAGAAGGCAATTAAAATGGAGATGGATAAGAAGGTGATAAAGAAGAAATCATAGCTTAAATAGAGTAAAAGGATTAAGAAATCAAGAAACTAGAAGAGTTAATAGAGAATTTCAAATAATTATATTAACATATGCTAGATGAAAAATAAGTCATTATGGAAGAAAATGAAAAATTAGCAAATGAGAATAATCAATTCAGAGAAATATTTAGTGTATAATTAATAATAAGTTATATAGTAAAACTTACACTTGTTTGGAATTGATCCTAATTAATTAGAAGAAGAAGGGGAAGGAGAAGGTGAAGACGGAGAAGGTTATTAACAAGAGGAAGGTATATATTAGACTCTATTAGGTGAGATAATTGAAGAAGATGAGACCAATGATACGTCTTGATAATATATAGTATCATTTTCCAAAAATATTATTACAAATTGTTATTTTTATTCTTAATATTATTAATGTTCTAAATATTACATCTATCATATAATTAATAGCAAATTCAAATGATTAAAATATGAAATACCTATTTTCAATATAGATATTAAAATGTATTAAGAACTTCATATTTAAAAAATATTTAATTTTAAACTTAAATGATAATATAATATATAATAACAATATTTCAATTGAATATCATCTATTTATTCACATTTCTAGTAGACTTATTTAAAAGATTTCTTTTTCAAAGTTACATTCATCATATATATGTTCAGTTGTTCTTTTATTTAATTTTTAATGTGTTTTTGTTACATATGCAGTTTAACAATCTAAAATAACTTTTAATATACATTGTAAAAATCTTTATAATCTCTTAAAGTATAATTCCTTCCATTATTATTCAATATCTCCATGGCCTCCATTTTCAACTAGCCAAACAGAAAATAAATGATTAGTATTTTAAGCCAATTATTCAGCATGAACAACATTAATCATAGAGTCAGCTCCTCCATGAAGTAAATATACTGGGGCTGTCACATCAACTATGTAATCAAGATTAGGAAAAATATCATAATATGATGTTTGATTAATTGTAGGGTCAATTACTCTTAGTCCACTTGATAAACCAGAATGAATAATCAATCCTCCTACATTATGTCTTGAGGCTAAGTTAGTACTTGGTCCAGATCCTATACTATATCCATATATTATTATATTCCTCGGTTCAAATTACAATTGATCAACTAAAAAGATGTAAGCTGATTCAATATCATATAGTAAGTTTATATCAGTAGGATAACCAGTGCTTTATCCATATCCTGAATAATCATAGGAGAATAGGTTTATTTTACACTCCATAACGATATCAACATATGTATCAAACATCAAACCGATATCTGTAGAATTGCCATGACTATAGAGAATAATCTATTCGCTGTTTTAAAATTCAATATAAATAGACGCAATCAAATTGCCAGACTTTGACTCTAAAACATAGCTAGAAATAGGCAATCCAGGATTATTATCAATCTCCATAGCTTTCAATTCATTGCTTATAAAATTAAACTCTTGTGAGGGATATTAACTTATGTATTATATTGTTCATACTGCTAATTCTTTGGATTTCTTAATTGTTACTTATATTCTGCACTTTATAGTGTGTTGTAGTATTTTATTCTTGGTGAGATTATGGAAAGATGTTCTTTAGTTAATTGATGTGACTATCTAATTGGTTGTTTGACTTGTATTAACGGTGATTGTGGCTCATCCAAAGTCCTAGATCTCTCTTCTTGCATTGGAGAGAGAGTAAGTGTTTTTATCACTTCATTTCTGTTTCGTATTAAATAACCTACTTCTGGGGGGTTGAATGCAACGTATTGAACTATAGTTGATCTGAGACATCTAATAATTGACAATAGCTTAAACAATCCAGTCAAAATTCTTCGAAAAATCAAATACATATATAATGAAATTATAAATTTTATCAATCAACCAAATTACATTCAATTTCTTCGTCTAAATGTGTAATTTTGTATATTAACAATAGCATACAAAGGATAAATAAGTATCTTCAATATTTAAATCATAGATAATCAGCATAACTAATTTTAATAAAAATATCATACTTAATAGAACAGAAATCAATCAAAAACCTTATATGATTTAAATAAGAATGGAATATAATTTATAAAGTTAATAAATCTGAATATAAAGCATTTAGAATTTATATATAAGAATAAATATATTCTTTATTAATAAGGTTTGAAGATGATATTAATTACTAAAAAGGTTCTAATAAGAAATTAATAAATTAAGAATCAAGTTACTTTATTCTAATCTAAAGTATATTCTAAATATTGTATTTCAAATTCAATCAATAATATATTATAATTGCAAAATATTTTTTAACATATATATATATATATAATTTGTGTATTTTTTTTTTATCATGAATTTTTACTATGATAATGGGTTTATTGATTACCTTGAACTTCTTGATGTTTATGAAGAGTTTGATTTTCTACTTTCACTTGATGATTTTCTAGATTATCTTCTATTTTATCTATTTTTTTTGAAATTTCTGCTTCTTCTTCTAGATTTTGATGAAGATGAAGAAGATTTCGATGAAGAGGATGATCTTCTTCTTTTTCTATCTCTTCTTTATCTTAATTCTTTTGTAACATACATTACCTTCTTGCATCACTAGGAGTTCTTGACATAGGACACTCTTTTTTGATATGGCCTTTCTTGTAACATCTGTAGCATGTTTCTCGCAAATCGCCTTATTATAATACAATAGCTTAACCTTCCTTGCATTCATTTGCCCAATGGCCTTTGCGTCCACAATTGAAGCACACATCTCTGGATGTTGGTCCTCTTACACCTGAAGGTCGATCATCTTATCATCACACGATCAAATGTCATCCTACCTCTTTGTTTAACAGTGACACGATCACCACTAATCCTTCGCCCGTCCATTTATTATATTGCCTACTTAGCCTCATCTGAAGCTTCAAATTCAATGAAGGCATGAGTGCTTCGTAGATCAATATCCTTAATCTTCCCATACTTCTCAAACTCCTGTTATAAATCTTCCCGCCTTATTTTAGATCCCAATCTTCCTACATAAATTTATCGACTCATTCTACTATTTCCAAATATAATTATAAATAAATATATTTTAAATAAAAACTCTGTTCTCATTCAAAATTTATAAATTCTACTTAGTTCCCTTTTTAACTTCTATATTTCCATCTAATGTCCTGCTAATACTTAATTATTATTTCTACTTGAAGATAACAAGGCATAAATAAAAATATAAATCTCTAAATTCAACTCAAATTCTTTTTTTTATATCATCTATCCATTTTATAAATCATTAAATGTATGATATATGGTAAAATTGTGATCAATAATTTAAAACTTCATAGTATAAGAATATAAAAATATTTTTTAATCT